TTTTTTCTTAACTTATTGTTTATTAAGGGTTAAAATAAAGGCACAAAGGACACTATCAAAATTTTGCTTCTATGAGCTAGTGAAGATTTTAGGACCACAAAGCCATTTTCTCATTCAATGCTCCTGCAAACGCATGAGCTGTGTGTATTGTTAGTCCTGTATCATGAAGAGGAGGCTGAATTGGAGAGATTCACTTGACATGTCCAAGCTTTTACAGCAATCAAATGGCAGAACCAGGCACCCATGTCGCTTAGATTCCAAATGTGCCTTCCCTCATCATGCCATGCTGGTGAGGTCGCATTCTCATACACAGCCTTCAGCTGGAAGTGTTCTGTGCTTAGGGCAACATTTAAAAAGGTAAAGGCCCTCCCGTTGTACATCGATTTGCTCGAGCGGGCCCAGTAACGTCTCTATTGGAGGAGACTTTGTTGTTACTGTGTCCGGCATATCGAATACGTCACAGGGAGCTTGCCAGGCTCTGCCGTGCGGGTGAGATACTCTCGGTAGCTTGCCGAGCTCTCCGAGAGGGGCGGAAGAATCGAACTGGGGTCGGCCATGTTGGCTGCGTGCAAGGCAAACGCCCTACCGCTGTGCTATCGCTCCAGTCCAAGATAATCACCAAGTCACTTTGCTATATCTAGCAAATACCCACGTTAAAGTTTCCAAACCACTTTCCCAAATATGATAGGTCTCTGGAAGACATAGAAAAGACACTAAGACACTCAGCCTTTGGTTATTTTAAGACAGTTTCCCTTGGTTGTAGATTTTAAATTTGGAACGGGATGGCTAAGAACTATGCAACAGTTTTGCCATGGGGAACATTGCTTTTGGTTAGTACAGCTTTATGTGTATGTATGTTGTCAAGAGACTTGAAATGCTGTTGCAAAAAAGTGGTCATGTATTATGTGCCCCATCTGCTTAACCTTTCCTATGCTTCCATGTTTATCTCCATTCCCAGTGTACGCAGGTAAAACTGTCCTGGAATTTTTTTAATAATTATTCTTGTATCACCAAGATAGAGCATTGCAAAGAGTTTTATGATTGCATTTCAGTTCTACAATGTCCCAACACCCATCCCTCCACCAGTGTTATTTCCCAGCACCAGTGTCCCTCTCACCCTTTCAAGCTCTCCCCGACCCCCACCTACCCACCTACCTCTATGGCAGACACCTCTTCTCTCTCTCTCTCTCTCTCTCTCTCTCTCTCTCTCTCTCTCTCTCTCTCTCTCTCTCTCTCTCTTTCTCTCTCTCTCTCTCGGCATTATGGTTTGAAATGCAGATGCTGAAATGTTACATGTATATTCCTTTACCTACTTTCAACACTCAGTTCTTGTCCAGAGTGATCATTTCCAACTAGTATGGGTCCTAGATTTTTGTTTGTTGTTTTCCTAGAATACTGCTTTCCTTCTAATTATGTAAGATGCTCCCACCCCAATATTAAGTCTAATGAACTTTTCCCATAAAATTTTAATGATGTTCTCTTCTGGGAATAGGCATTAGACAGTGACTGTCCAGTGCTATGCATAGTAAGAGGGAGTGTGATGGTTTTATATGCTGAGCACTTAAGAACTCTGGAATCTGGAGTAAGCAACAAAGCTTTCTTGGTATGAGCAGTAACTGACCCACCTACTCTTCTGCCGGCCCCTTCAACCTTCTAGGTATGGGGAATTAAGAGCAAAAGTAGTAGAGAAAGTGATTTTAAAACAACATCATTCCCTCCTACTAGATTATGTCCCATGAGTCCGTACGCCAGTAATAACAGTGTTCAGATTCAGTGCTTTTGTTGTTTCTGTAGACAAGAGAAGCAGTGAACTTAAAATGTGCAAAACTCTTATTAAATCAATTCAGCATTAAACTAGCCTTGTGACAAAATTTAAGTGACTTAAACTATATAAATTATAACCACAGTGTATAAAATTCAGAGGTGGGGGTGGGGATTTTCTCTTTGAAAGTTTATCAGATGCCTGATATATATATATATATATATATATATGTGTGTGTGTTATATGTAAATATTTTATATATGTATAGGTTTTGATGACTAAGAATATATTAACTCTAAAACTCCTGTGTTGGAACATTATATATTTTCCTACTACTGAAAAACCAGTCAACACTGAAATTTCTTCCCCAGCTGTAATCTGACTCACCAACTCCTTTGATTAGCTCACAAAAGATTAAAAAAAGATTAAAATATAATCTAGAAAACATATACAAGGAACAAAATATTAACAGATGTTCCCCAAAGAATGTCACGCATGGAATGAGTACTAATATAAAGTTCCATATTAAACTACTTTCACAGTAATTTTTAATTTTTGCTTCCCTGGTTTATTTTAATTGAGATATTCATTTTCTTAAAGAATGCTGGATAAAATCCAAAGAAATGTGAAAGCTCCCATTATGCTCAATTCTCAGAAATCAATTTTTTTAAATTAGATTTGGGGGGGGATCTTATACTAAAGTATTTAATGCCTACAAGTGTTTTTGGCTTTGAAGGACGAACCCTCAAAAAAAAATTAGTAGGCCACAATGCAGATTCAAATAGTAAAGCTAATGTTGGAAATAGCCAAATTTTAGGTTAGATTTCAATCTTTTAATTATTATTTTAATTAGGAATTATTTTCTCCTCCATAAAGAAAATTATTTTCACTTCCATAAACATCTTCAAATTTGCTGCAAATCTTATTACTGAAATATATAAGTAAAATTATTTTCTCCTGAAGAAATAACTGCTTAACTGCACAAGTCATCCTATAACATTTTGTGCATAATATAAATATGTAATGGTAGACAGAATCGTGTTTTTATTATCCATAATATGTAAACAGTTAAATGTACAGCAATAGCATAACATCCTTCAGTGACTTTAGGACACCTATTTGATGCAATATTCTGAATCTATTAAAATTTTTATTTTCAAAGATTAATGTGACAGAAGAAAACCCATGATATATTTTTCTTGAGTTAAATGAAAGAGCCAAATTCATACTAAGTTTTTGTCATTATTGCAACAGTTCTCATGTTTGCTTGGCTCTAATTTCACTAGCCCATAAATCCACATGCATCTAACTATATGCGGTTCTTTTTAAATGGGAAGTAATTTCATTAAAATACTAACTGATCATGAGGTACATTTATTCATGATTTTAATCTTTTAATTAGTCTCTAAATTATTAATCTTTCCATTATTTTAACAGTAATGAGTGATGTGTAATTGTGATTTGTGTGAGCTGTCCTGCTAAATATGTTTTTTTTTTAAAGAAAAATTGCTACTCATAAACAACAAAGCACTTTGGACAGAAGACCTATATTTTCCTAGGGTTCTTGGGTTGAAGGAAACAGATCCTACAGGTGGTTACTGTCATCCATCTCCTCTTCAGCCCTTCAGACATCAGCTTGCCCACAATACACGTGGCTTTCTGAATCTATCATGGAACACTGATTTAAGTTATCATGATTAGAGCTTCAAATCTCACCATTATCACACATCACAAATACACTGCACAAGTCATCCTATAACATTTTGTGCATAATTTGATTATTAGATATTATGCTATTTCAGTTTAAAATATAATAATGCCAGACTTTATTATAAATATTATATTTTTATATTATATTAAATATAAAATATATAAATATAACAAACCCTGGGAGATCTCTCAGGATCAGGCACAAGGACTTAAGTTCAACTGAGAACATCATATGCCTCTGAGCATCACCAACTGTGGCTCTGGTATCCGAAGCACTTTCAGGTGATTCTGGTGGCCCCAACACCACTGGACCCAATTGGAACCACATTGTCAAGCCCTAGCATTGAACTGTGTGGCTTGGTCAGTTGAGAATCATGGTAGGGAGGAGAAGAGGCAGGGATCATGGCTTGAGAGACCCAAATAAATAAATAAGTAAAATTTAATGATGTTGAATCATTCTAATGGTAAATTTTATGCAAATGCTGTGATCTAAGAATACTGATGAATGCTGAGCTTCTTATATGGGAACATATTTTGCAAGGACAGGCATGACGGATGAATATCTGACTCTATTCTGCTAGACAGTCCCAAATCTAGGTTCAATCTCAAGCTCAGTAATTTTATCTGTGAAGATAATCAAGTAACTTGCCCTAAGTTTCTTCACATGCGAAGAAGTGCTGGTTAACATCTTCAGAAACCCACCTTTTAGTGTTATTTTCCACCTAAATGAGGTGGGTGCTCAAGTACCAAAGTGTGTATGTGTGTATGTGTGTATATATGTGTGTGTATATGTGTGTGTGCATGTCACACACATGCATGTATGTTTAAAACAGAGATAGAAGCAGAGAGACTGAGAAATAGAAAGTCATTTGAGAATAGAAATTTCAATAAGAATAATAAGTAAAAGGAGAAACAAAAATAATTGTTAAATTTGCATTGGATGAACGGTGAATACTTTCTCAAAATACGATAGATTTTAAATACCTTTTCCATAACAGGAAAAATTAGAGATTTACTTTACTCTAATATGCCCCCTTCCAAAATCAGTCACTATCTTTTGTGAATCGAAGACTGAAAGACTGAGAAGCCCTGGATTTGGCTGGCAAAGGCCCAACTAAGAATTAACAGTCTGTTTCCACACTCATCCTTGCAGTTCCCCTTAAATAGGTGCCCTTCTTTTGACAACTGGTAATCTACAGCCCTGAAAGGTAAAAGGCAGATATGTTTTATGTACTGGAGACTAGTACCTTTGATGCATTCATAACAAACTTTTCATTTAACTGCCTTTTTCTAGCTGACATGTTTTGCTGATTTATTGCAAGCTAAAGGATAAATGTGTGTATGTTTTATGTAATCTCAAAAATATCTCTCTAGTTTTAAAGGGGTAAAGAAACTGCTTTCTCTCATTTAATTCTCACATGTACAAAGGACTGATTTTATCCTATGAATGCAAAAAAGGGAAGATACTTCTAAAAACTTCTCAATGCCATTCTCTCCCTGATACATTTTTTTAAATTATGTGTTCCAGGCCCTACTTGATACTCAGACTCTTCTGCGTGCACAAATTGCAAATTTTACTTTCAACCTGGGATTTTCAGGGAAATTTTACCATACAGGTAAGGGAAGGATGATGGTTTCATTTGCTCTCTGCCCTCTCTTTTTAAACTTGCACACCCCTCCAGTTCCCACATTCCTACACTCCCACTCTACTTCCCTCCTGTTACGCAAGCCCACTGAACACAGTACTTTTTAACCTTTACTAAATGTTAACGGTTTGAAAGTTTAGTCACCATAGAATCATCTAATGACCTTTCTTTCCTATTGGTCTCTAATTTGCATAGATGAAAGGGAATAAATAATTAGCATCAGGCTCAGTGACTTTTCACAGTGCACACACAATTGTGCAGTCAGCGTGCAAATGAGGAGAGAAAATTCTTGAGAACCACTTCCTGCTTCTGCTCCAGTCGGGAGCTTCCCTCAGACCAATCACTGTCCAGACTGCTGTAACCCTGAGAGGGTTGGCTGGCTTTGGGATGTGTACAAGAGGAATCCTATAGTCTTTTCTATACTTAGCTTGATTTGCTTGGTATTATTTTGGTTTCACCAATACCACAGTACAGAGTTGAAATTTCTTCATTGTCAGAGTACTCCATTGTTTTATTATATCAGACATCCTATCGTTCCTTTCTAATGCAGAGGAATAGCCTGTTTCCAGTGTTTTGGTTCTTTAATAGCTATATTAAGACCATTTTTGTAACTATCCTCCAGAGGACATGATTATTTTTTTCTTGATTGTCAAGCTGGGATAGAAGTACTGGTTATAGGGTAGTTGTCATCAGCTTCAGTAAAGAATGCCAGTTTTCAAAATGGCTGCCAATTTATATCCCCAGAGGCATATGATCATTCCTGAAGCTCAAAGTTCTCGCTAATATTAAATATTACTTGTCTTTTTGGTATCAGCCTTTCTGATGGGCATAAACAGATACCATATGATAACTACAATGTACATTTTTCTGAAATGTGTCTGTTGGCCATTTAGATATGCATTTTTGTAAAACATGTGGGGTTTTATTTTTCTATTGTGTTGTCTACTGAGGATTTGTAGAAATTCTTTTTACCTTCTCTTCTATAAACTAAGGGAACAACCCTCCAAAATGAAAGGCAGGGCTGGAGTGATAGTACAGCAGGTAAGGCACTTGCTTTGCATGTGGCTGGGGTTTGATCCCAGCACCACATATGGTCCCTCCAGCATAGCCAGATGTAATCCCTGAGTGCAGAGGCAAAAATAAGTTATGAGCACAGCTGTGTGTGAGGCAGGAAGAAAAGAAGGAAGGAAAGGAGGAAGGAAAGGAGGAAGGAAGGAAGGAAGGAAGGAAGGAAGGAAGGAGAGGTGAATTACCATATGGGAGAAAATGATAGCAAATCATATATGTATATATAGAATATATTTTAACTAATATAAATAGCAAAAATATAATTTTTAAATGAGCAGAGAATTTGAACAAATTTTTTCCAAGGAATATATATAGATATCCAACAAGTAAATGAAAAGATGTTTAATATCACTAATCATCAAAAATGCAAATCAAAAGCATGATTAAATAGAATTTCACACTTGTTAGAATAGCCATCATCAAAAAGATCAGAAATAACAGATGTTGATGAGGGTTTGGAGAATCTGGAAGGCTCCTGCACAATTGGTAGGAATGGAAACTCGCGCTGACACCATGAAAAACAGTAGAGGGATTCTCAAAAAAATCAAAAACAGAGCCTCCATATAAATAATAATTCCACCTGAGAAAAGGAAAACATTGATTTGTAAAAAAATTCTCTTCATGCCATATTCTGTCCCACATTATTCACACCAGCAAAGATACTGAAAAAGATACTGAAGCAACCAAGTGCCCATCTGTGGGTGAAGAAAACTGATCATAGCTACATACACACGCATACATATGGAGACATATATACAATGGGATGTTATTAAATCATAAAACAGAAAGAAATATTGCCACTCACAACAACATGGACAAACCTTGATGTCACTATGCTAAGTGAAATAAGTTAGACAGAGAAAGACATACGTATAATCTCAATTATGCATAGAATGAAAAACAAGTTTATAAGGAAAGGCATGAAGTGATGGTTGTCAAAGACAGAAAGTGAGGGGTTGGAAAAAATGGTGAAGAGGTCAGAAAGTAGAAAATAAATATTTTATGGGATATAATACACATAATGGGAACAATGGTTAACATCGTATTATAAATTTTAAAGTTACTAAGAATAGATCTTACAAATTTTTATCACAGGGAAAAATCATCCTCATGTATGGTGATGGATGGATATCAGACTTATAATGTCAATCATTTCATAATATAGAAATATCTTGATTATATTTCATATTTGAAAGGAAACATATGTCTTATTTAATTATAAAAAGTAAGGGGTATCTTGCCTCCTATTTTATTTTTCCATTTCTTTGTTGATGTATTTAGAAATGGAATTGATTCTGTGAGATGATCCTGTATCGATAACCTTGCTATGTTCATCTCTAAATTCTATAGTTTGGAGACTGGGCTTGCTATATTTCCTGCTTATTTCATTTTGAATTCTGAACAGTGAAGTTACACTTCTTCCTCTCTGAAGGTATAATTCAGTTTCTTTTCTTTGTCTAGTGCACTGGCATGGGTCTTCAGTTAGGTAACGGCAGTAGCACCGCCACTGGCACCTTACTCCTGATGCCAGGGACGATCTTCCAGTAGGTTTATCCCTGTTCTCAGGGAAGCACTGCAGATGATTATTTGATTGACAGTCTTTGTTCAATTAAGGAAGCAATTCTCATATTGCTACTGGTTTGATCATGAATGGTGTTGAAAAATCTTTGTTCTAAAGGCCCTGACTTTGGCACGTCACCACATATTCCCACCCAGAACCATAAGGTGTGGCCATGGTGGTCCCCACCACCAAGCTGTACCCGAGCACTGCGTCATCAGTGCCAGGCCGAATATTGCTTCCATGGTCCTGAGCAACATGAGGGCCCTGAGCAACACTGCATATGTCCCATAGAAAAATAACATTTACCTGTCATCTCTCTTCCATGACTAAAATAAGAATGCTTCCTAAAAGCTTTGTTGCTTGGGCAGAGGTACAGAAGCTAAAGGTGCTGCAGCACATGCTGTGTGCCTTGGTTTGAATCCTTGGCACTACACATGATCCTCTGTGCCCGCCCAGGGCTACTCCTGACCACAGAACTAGGATCAGACCCTGAACACCACCAGGTGTTGCCAAAAGTTAAAAAAATAAAATAAAAAAAAAAACAAGAAAAGAGCAAGCAAGAAGTTTTACTGCTTTAACACTAGCAACTAAAACAAGACCTACTGAAAAATAACAAACGATTAAATAAAAATAAAATACTTGCCCTATTTTAAAATACTTGCCCTATTTTAACTATTGGTATTTCTATGGAACAAGATCAGAGAATACAACTTAACCATCTTGTGTTGGAAAAGGAAGTCACTCTAAGTAACATTGCACATAGCACTGTCCTCCCATTGTTCATCAATTTGCTCGAGCAGGCACCAGTAATGTCTCCATTGTAAGACTTGTTGTTACTGTTTTTGGCATATCAGATATCCCACCGGGAGCTTTCCAGGCTCTGCTGTGCAGGTGGGATACTCTTGGTATCTTGCAGGGCTCTCTGAGAGGGACAGAGGAATCTAACCGGGTTGGTCGCGTGCAAGGCAAACAGCTGGTAAGCTGTGCTATCGCTCCAGCCCACTCTAAGTAATTCACTCTAAGTAATAAGAATAATTTTAAATTTTCTTTCTTAAACCCATGATGTATTCAACATGCCAAACACAGTAACGTCTCACAATGGAGAAGTTACTGGGCGCACTCGAGCAAATTGATGAACAACAGGAGGACAGTGATAGTGAAATCTAATGAATGTAAGAGCACTCATAGCAACTCAAAACTTTCCTATGTTTTTTTCCCAATAGCAAATCCTGAGCCAGTTACCCTCCTTGTTTCAGGAAGATTTGTTCTCTCTCCTGACTTGGCAATTCCCACAGCTCACAATGCAGATTTCCCCTTTCAGCCACAGAAAGAAATGGAAGGAAATGAAGACAGGTGGGAAGGGTCATGCTTCTGTCTATAATATAAGAACTTCCACAAAAAAAAAACCACAACTTTAGCTAGAAGTGTCTAAACACACTGAAATCATTTTCCAGTGCACTGAAATCTGAATACTCCAAATCTTTCAAAAAATTAGATATTGTCAAGTGCAGTTGAATTACAGTATCTTCCTTTCTATGAGTAATTCCCTTTTCTATTAAAATTTTATAAACTTTATTCTGTCCTCAAGGGAAGGAGAAAAATGTACAGTCATATTCATAAGACTATTTCGGGACAAGATTCCATCTTATTTTATTTACTTTTAATGTTGAAAGGCTTATGCATTTTGTGAGATATGAAGAGATGAAGGTATAAAAACTAACATTCATTTTTAGTATGCAACACTATGCTCTAAGGACTTAATCAAGAACTTTCTATGGAATCTTAGGAACTAAAGATATGACTTTTTTTCCTAGATAAGAACAAAGACACTTAGGAGATGAAGGACAAATATTACATATCTAGTTAACTTAGAAACTTCTGGTCAATAAGAGCGCAAGTCTTATGCATAAGATAAAATAGATTTTATTAATCAGCAATCCTGGTTTCAGGTAAGACAATGAGTGACAAAGATTACTTATATCTAGGTTCTATTTGCCTATTTCACAAATTACTGAGAACCAACAATATTATAATCTCCAATTAAATCATAGATTTAATTTACAACATGGAATATAATGTTATACTGGATTAGTAAATTTCTTTTTCCTAAATTCTACATAAGATCCCTGGATTTGGAGATGCTTAGTCTGGGTTAGAATTCAGATTGTGTATTGAGGTTATGTCCACCATCTCAGTGAGCAGGTGCTGGGAACAGAGGGCCAAGGTAGAAAAAATAAAGGAGAAAAGCAGAATAGGCAGAACACAGGAAACTGCTCACCAGGAAAGCCAGCACCCATGTGCAAAGCCCCTGGGCCAGCTTTTGTGTCTGCTCTATCCCTGA